AGCTTTATTATAAACTTACCTAAAGGTAAGTGTCCAGTGGGAGTTTACTTCCCCTTTAAATTGCTATAAATACCAAAGCAGGGACAGTGACATAGGAACCCCATCTTTGTGTAATGATATGCAGCCAATACATACTGTTTCCACAACCTTGTCTTCACTTATTTTTATGAGCTCAATACTTATGTCTTTGAACTTAATCAGTTGGTTTAGTCATCACTAATATTGGTCTATAGATAAGGATGCAGCAGGTGACATGCAATCTGCAGGTGACATGATAACACACCATTGGCACACATCACGTTTAAGGTACACTAAAACCATTAAAAGTGTATTGATCAAAAGCCATTGATTCTGCTGCTAATGACCATCACTGAAACACATAATTAGTTGATTAAAGCATATGTAAACCCAATTACTAAATTCTCCTATGAACACCTTAAAGTAAATTAAAGTTATTTTTAATATTTTTTTAATTTGCAGCTTTCATTTCAATGATACCTGGAAATATTGCCATGAAGTCAGGCACCTGTTATGGGGTGACAACTCTATCCCTTTTTCCTAATTGTTGTGCCCCTGTGTTGTCACTCAGTCCACAAGTGGTCCTTTCAAACAGGCATCAGCCAGGCATGGTCCACTGTTGTCACCATCAGGGAATCCTTCTTAATAAATGCTCCCATCCCTAATGTACATACTGTACATATAGACATGAAGTTGCTGTAATGAGGCTACAAGAGATCAGTAGCATTATATACAATGTAGGAAAAACAAGTATTTTATTTTAACAAGGGTGATTTATCAAATAAATGATCATTATTCCCACAGGGGTAGATTTACTAAAACCTGTGCACTCAGAATCTGGTGCACCTGTGCATGGTAGCCATTCAGATTCTAACTTCAGCGTGTTTAGTTAAGCTTTGGCAATAAAACCTGGAAGCTGATTGGTTTCTCTGCAGAATTGTACCAGATTTTGCACTCTCCAATTTTAGTAAATAACCCCCTGCGTACCATAAACATTTTCCAAGGGTGTCAGCTTAGTGAATAAAGTGAATTGTGTTGACTTGAGTAAACAGTCCTGAATTTCAAGGCTGGAAACTGTCATTCCTCACTTTCTGAAAATGCTAGTCACCTGGCTATCTCTGGGGTCAATACTTTTAAGTCATTACCCTAGAACAAGCATGTGGCTAAACCACTGAAAATGACAACACTGGTTTGGCATACTTAATAAACTCAGAAAGTTTTGGGTCAACCTAGTGGCCAGGCAACCAGTATTTTGAGCAGGAGGGCTCTTCATTGACAGCCTGTGAATGTTTCCACTGCACATCTAAAAAAAAACAAAAACAAAAAAAACAGGCTTTTGTTTGGCAAATGATTAAAGTGAAAGGAGCTCAATATTCTCTCCACAATCCAAAGCACTGAAAGTCCATGCTTGTGAGGTTACAGCCCTAGAAAAGGAAAAGCCTGGTGTTATAATGAAAATGACATTATACACAGCTCATACCTTTGGTACATGCTAATGAGTTCCATGTAACCACAACAACATCATTTTTTTTTTTTGGGTGATCAGAAAAAAAAAAGAAAAAAGCTGAATAAAAATTTAACCCCTGCCTCCCTGTCACTCCAAAAAGCCTCCCCCCTGACAGCAAACATGGTTAATTAATTTCTAACTGAATCATTAAAAATGTTGATGGCCACAAAAGTTCTACTGTCTGCTAGATATGAAACGTATACAAAGCTGACGGTTGCTTGAATGGCAAAGTCTTTATTTCCTCTCTATCTTGTTTCTTTTGAAGAGAAATGTGTGCACATTGTTGCAGAGGCTCCATCTTGCGCCAAGGGGAGCTCTTTCTCTCCCTTGTATTGTGCAGGAGAGCAGGTGCTGGCTGCATTACCATACAGCTGAGAGCACAAAGGACCAACTCATTCATCCCCTGCACAATAACAAACTGCCTTAATGATGGCCACGCGAGCGACACACACCAAACTCACTTCTTTTAACTGTGGCCTGGCCAGGGGAAGGAAGGAAGGAAGGAAAATCACAGGGAGAGGGAAACATGCAGGGGATGGATAAGAAGACCAGACACTTCAAGGGAGAAGTTTGAAGGAAGAAAGCAGGCTGGAAAAACTCCAAAATTAAATTCAAAGGACAGGAGAGAAAAAGATTTGTGCAGGATAAAGTCAAGGATGCCAGGGAAGCTGGTGCCTAGAGCAACCAGTGATGGACATTTGTTCAGGATGGGCAAAAGGATGCTAGGGAAGCTGGTGCCCATAGCAACAAAGGATTGAGATTTGTACAGGATGGGGCAAAAGATGCTAGAGAAGCTGGTGCTCATAGCAACCAATGAGAAATAGATTTGTGCAGGATGGAGTATAGGATGCCAGGGAAGTTGGTGCTCATAGCAACCAATGAGAAAGAGATTTGAGCAGGAGTGTAGGATGCCAGGGAAGTTGGTGCTTAAAGCAACCAATGAGAAAGATTTGTGCAGGATTGTGTAAAATATGCTAGTGAAGCTGATGCTCATGGCAATTCCTCTTTCTATGAAGAACAGTACTTCCTTAGGTCAGCCTTTCTTGATCAGGGTTTTTTGGATCGCTAGGGTTCCTTCAGAACAGCCTTCATAAGATAGATTTCTGTGGATCCATAAAGTTTTTGCAAGGAAGCCTTTCTCAACCAGGGTTCTGTAGATGTCTAAAGTTCCTCAAGAGAAGCCCTTCTTAACAAGGGTTCTCTAGATCGCTAGCGTTTCTCCACATCAGGCTTTCTCAACCAGGTTTCTGTGGATCCTTTGGGTTTCTCCACATCAGGCTTTCTCAACCAGGGTTCTGTTGATTCTTAAGGTTCCTCCAGAGCAGGCTTTCTCAACCAGGGCTCTGTGGATCCCTAGGGTTCCACCACATCAGGCTTTCTTAATCAGGACTCTGTGGATCCTATAGGGTTCATCCACATCAGGCTTCCTCAACCAGGGTTCTGTGGATTCCTAGGGTTCCTCAAGAGCAGGCTTTCTCAATCAGGGTTCTGTGGATCCCTAGGGTTCATCCACATCAGGCTTTTTCAACCAGGGTTCTGTGGATTCCTAGGGTTCCTCAAGAGCAGGCTTTCTCAACCAAAGTTCTGTCGATCACTAGGGCTCCTCCAGAATAGGCATTCTCCACCAGGGTTCTGGGGATCCTTAGGGTTCTTCTAGAGGTTTCTGTGGGTAAAGTGCAAATTCAGATTCTGAGATAACTAACCACTTACACCTGTGATTTTTTGTTAGCTATCAGTAAGGGGGGGGGGGGGGGGGGGGGGCTCGGGGTCTTCCAAATTACCACAAATGTAAGGAACATTCTTCCCAGTGACCATCATGCCAGTGTCCTGCTGTAGATATAGTAATAATCTGGAGTCTCCCAAGACCAAAAAGTTATTTCAGGGTTTCTCCGTGTTAACAAGAGATTGATAAGCTGTTCTAGGGGGTACGCTGGTCCCCTGTCTTCTTGTCATTTTTTAAGTTGTTGCAGGTCAGCATCTCAAAAACTAAAGCCACAGACAGCCAGGCAGCTGGCATTTTCAGGAGGTCAATTGCAGGCAGTTTTCCAGTCTAGTTTTTCTTTCAATGTCAGGTGAGAGGCAGGAAGACAGCCAGGAGCAGAGAATTTTCTGCCTACTGTGATGGCTCAGGTTGGAGGATCTGGATGATATGGTAAACGGAAATTCGGTGCTGCAATTGCAAATAATTGTGGCGTTTGATAAAAGCGAAGCATGGGAAGACACTATAGGGAAGAGGAACTAAAAGCAGTTTTGGGGGGAAATAGTCCACAAGTGAGTATTGGCTGTGTGTGTCCTCCAGCTGCCATCAATGGTGTCAGTCCTCAGTAGATGGCTGGCTAGGGTGACAGGTGGCCAGCGTAGAAGTGGTTAAGAAATCTGATCTAGCTTCACATGTTGCTCGATCACCTTTCCTGCCTCTCCACTGCTGCTGCAAGCGACATGGGGGACCGCAGGAGTGCACACAGTAAGTGGATCGGGGGATGCCCACCCCTTTTTCCCACACTGGAAATCCTTGCCAGGTGACATCACTGAGTGGCACCGATCTCCTCCTCGCCCCTGGGTTGTAGATGGCAGCCACACACACGTAGGATACAGAGGTGAGAAAAGACGGCCGATGAGGAGGAGGAGGGGGTGTGTGTGTGCAAGGCATAGGGGGTACGATCAGGGGATGGGGGAAGAGGGCAACTGCCACTTTTTTTTCCTGCACCTTCAGATGAAATCAGCCCAGATCTTGTCATAAAATAAAGTTAAAATAACAATGTAAAGAATGTAAAACGTGTGTTGTGTATGTGTGTGTATGTGTGTGTGTATGTGTGTGTATGTATGTGTGTGCCCAATATCAGAGGGAAGGAGGGAGGGGGAGAGGGGAGGGAGGATTGCACATTTTACAGCTCACTGACCATTTGGCAATCCATGGAGAGGAGGGTTCTGTAAAGTGGCTCCTTTGTGACATCTCTAGACAGACTGGGGGTCTGCTCATTTGCATGTCATTAGCTATGCAGGCGGCCAGCTCCATATAAAGAGGCAGGCGGCCAGCCAGAGGCAGAGAGAGAGCAGGAGAGGGGCAGGACACCAGGACACCAGGACTGAGCATAGCCCGAGCAGGACAAGTCAGCACACACCTCACCTGGCTGCTGGGATTATCGGAGCTCCGGGAACTATACCGCTCCCATCGGGTGCTTGGCTTTTCTCTGGATTGTTGCCTTTTACTGGGTTCCTATGGAGATCTAGGGGCCAGACAAGGTGGAATTCTCCTAAAGGTGGATGCTAAAGGACTCCTATCTTCACCTAGCGCCAGTCTCCACCTTTTCTGCCATTGACAAGCTCGGTGTCACCCAATGAAAGGGCGTCTCTAGCCGGGAGGAGAAGACACTTGAAGGGAACGCAGAGCCGGCGGTGCGGCAGTCTAAGCTGTGCTCTCCATCCACCATCTGCGGCTGGCTCTGCCTTCTACCGCACCCTGCAGACACACACCATGGGGGCCCATGCCGCACTCTGCCTGTTCCTCGTCTCGGCTCTGCTAGCCCAGGTAAGACATCCATCCGCAACTCCGATTGGCTCTCACAGTGACAGCGAGCTGCCACCACTGACCAGCGGGCGCTGGAACTTTAATATCCCTGCCATGGAGGCCATGGGCTGGGGGGCTTTGTAAGTTTCATAAGCGATCACCCTTACTGTCTGGAAGGAAGGACGGCATAGGGGGGCACTTGAACTTTAATAGATGGGCAACCTTTCCATGGAACCAATATTGATGGGGGGGGGTTTGATTATTAGAGTGGTCGCCCTTACTGTGGATATAAATAATCGCAGATGCTATAAATAGAGGGGTATTGGAACTTTATTAGATGGACATAGGATTTGTACGTTTAATGAGAGATCACCCTTCCTATGGAAGGAATCAAAGCATATGCCCTTTGCAGGAGAGGATTGGAACTTTCATAGATGGGCACCCTACCATAGAAACAACAGCATGCTATTTATTGAAGGATGGGGGGGCTTTGTAAGTTTAATGAGGGATCACCCTTCCTATTGAAGGAATCAAAGCATATGCCCTATGTAGTCAAGGATTGGAACTTTCATAGATGGGCACCCTACCATACAAACAATGGCATGCTGTATATTGAAAGATGGGGGGCTTTGTGACTTTAATGAGGGATCACCCTTCCTATGGAAGGAATAAAAGCATATGTCCTATGTAGGTAAGGATTGGAACTTTTATAGATGGGCACCCTACCATACAAACAACGGCATGCTGTATTTCAAAGGATGGGGGGGGGGGGGGGTGTTGTGAGTTTAAGGAGGGATCACTCTTCCCATGGAAGGAATAAAGCATATGCCCTATGTAGGTAAGGATTGGAGCTTTCATAGATGGGCACCCTACCACAGAAACAACGGCATGCTATATATTGGAAGGATGGGGGGCTTTGTGAGTTTAATGAGTGATCACCCTTCCTATGGAAGGAATCAAAGCATATGCCCTATGTAGCCAAGGATGGAACCCTACCATAGAATCAACGGTATGTTGTATATTGAAGGATGGAGGGCTTTGTAAGTTTAATGAGTGATCACCCTTGCAATGGAAGGAATAATAGCATATGCCCTATGTAGGAGAGGATTGGAACTTTCGTAAATGGGCACCCTAACATGGATGCAATAGCGTGATATGTTAAGAGATGGGGGGGCTTATAATGTTAATGAGTGATCACCTTTACTATTGAAGGAATAACAGTTTATGCTATATAGGGGGTGTTATAATTCCAATAGAATGGCACAATTTCTATGAATAATATATAAAATGCTATATTGTAACTTGTATGGGCACTCTTACCTTGGAAAGGATAATATGCTGTATTGTAACCTGATTGTGTGGGATTCCTAACCATGGAAGGATTCAGAAAAATGCTACCTGTGGGAGGTTTTGTAACTTTAATAAATGGGCATCCTCACCATGGAGGGTTCATATAAAATGCTATATTTGAGGTGTTGTAAATTTAATAAATGGGCATTCCTATCATGGAAGAGATTAAATAAAATGCTGTATGTAGAGGTTTTCTAACTTTATTAGATGGGTACCCATATAATGGAGGGAATGATGACAAATGCTACATGTAGGGGGTTTTGTAATTACAGCAGGTGGGCATGCTTACTATGGAGGGATTCATTTTATATGTAGAGGTGTTGTAATTTTAATAAAATGGGCATCCTTACCATGGAAAGAAGATTTTTGTAACTTTAATAGATGGGTGGCATTTTCATGGAAATTATAATAAATGCTGTATTGTAACCTGAATGTGTAAGCTTCTTTACCATGGAAGAAATACGAAATACATGCTATATATAGGGGTACCTAGTTCATTCTGGGGGGGGCATTACCTTCAATGATGCCTAGACTGTAGAGAAAGTGAAGCTCTGCCATCCAGGCCTATTTTGGCCATCACTGAAGGAGAGCGACAAATATATGTGCTGTGAATTTCAAATGCAGGATGGCTGTTTTATGTGATGTATTTCTCCTGGCTTTGTAGATCTCTTGCTCCGGGCTCTTTGAGTTGAAGCTGCAAGAATTCATCAATAAGAAAGGTCCTATGGGGAATATGAACTGCTGTCGTGGTGGGATGTCCGGCTCTCAGGGCTTGCAGCAATGCGAGTGCAAGACTTTCTTTCGGATCTGCCTGAAGCACTACCAGAGCAGCGTGTCCCCGGAGCCCCCATGTACCTATGGCAGTGCCGTCACCCCAGTGCTGGGCTCCAACTCCTTCAGCGTCCCAGAGACCATCAGCTCAGACCCAAGCTTCACTAACCCCATCCGATTCGCCTTTGGATTCACCTGGCCTGTGAGTGACCTAGTCTTTCTTTTTCTGAGGATGCTGCCTGTACATGTAGTTGATCACTGTTATTAATCCATCCAGACAGGGCAGCTTGATGGCTGTAAAGGCTGCTGAATTCAATGCTGAACAATACGCTTAGCAACACCTAATGCAAGCAGCAGCTTTGTATCTTCTGCACACCAGGGACAGCTAACAGGGTCAGACACTCTGATAGGGGTTAAGTACAGTAGTTGATGATAACATGGGTGATCATAGGGGCTTTCAGAGGGTGGTGGCTGTTGACACAGGGTATTCAGATTAGGTAGATTAAGCACACTGTGTACAGGGTGGGGTTGGATTACACTAGGTGAAATAAACCCCTGGATAAAAGCAGCAATACCACTCACATAAAGGCTTGCTTAGCCTAAGGGAAAAGGTTTATTTTTAGGGTTTGCATCTGTCTGTATGACCCAGGGGGATGTTTAGTAGTCCAAGCTCAAAGAGATGGAACTGAAAGGCTGAAATTTGTGTGTGAAAAAGAAAAGGGAAGGGAGGGGGTGGGGAGTTCGGATGAAAAAAAAAAAAAAAAGAGTTTATTTGTCATAGGCAGACCCTTTATTTTTCCAAAAGGAACAAGTGTTATGGTGTTGGAAATGCCACTGCCCAAGTCTCCCCCTCTTGTCTTTGGTAGCAGTTGTATAATTGTCAGCACAGCGTGAAATTCCCAAAAGGATTCATTTTACAGCCCTCTCAATGTGTGAAACTAGGTAAATTAAGCGTGAAGATTGATGACAACAGCTCTGCTAGGCCCCCTGATCTGCTGTGTCCTTCCTATCATGCCGAAAGGGTTAACAACACACACACACAAAAAAAAAAAAAAACATGCAAAATTCTCACTTTTTTACCACCATCAGTTGTTGCAGCAGTGCATGGAAAGCCAGGCAATACAAATGTGATGGTAGTCAGGAAAGGGTTAATCAACCAAGGCTCTTCTGTACGCAGGCGACTGGCACTTAAGGGGTGGTGGAGGGGATCACTGCATAATGAAACAACAAGCATAAAAATCATACCAGGAAATAACTATTAAAAGTCCACCCATTTCCTTAGGAAAAGTGAAAACATGCAGCTAGCCAACACAATTCTCTGAGCCTCGCCTAGGCAGTGGGGGTAGGCAGCTATCAGTAGTTGGTGTTATGTGCTGATTTCTTCTACAATTTGAAATGGAACATTTCTGTATGTCAGTGTGATATTCCATTTGCGTTTTTAAGCTTCTTATTAATATTGCCATTTTTATTTTCTTGTGCACAGGGTACTTTTTCCCTCATCATTGAAGCACTGCACACCGATTCACCAGATGATCTAAGTACAGGTAAGAAGTGCTCTGTATAGGGTGGTCCTTTTTTTTTTTTTTTTTTCTCTCTATTGTCCCCCATAGTCTTTCATGCTCACAGCAGGAAGGGCCAACTTGCCACCTAACACTTAAGGAAGTCCATGTGACAATGTGTTCAACACCTTTCCAGTGTTTGATCTTCACCATGGACTCCTAAGGATGTCACTAGGCCCAGTCCAAGAAAATGTTTTTTTTTATCCTTGGAGCTATTGCCAGCATTTATGCAATATATTACATTTTGAGTGATTTGTAGGATCATAGTATAATCAGTATGGTGGCTTAAAAAGGGATTTGCTATGTTGGATGAAATGTGGTTATTAATAAAGGTTTGTTTTGGTTTGGCAGAAAATCCAGAGCGCCTTATCAGCCGCCTTGCCACCCAGAGACACCTAACAGTTGGCGAAGAATGGTCTCAGGATCTGCACAGCAGCGGCAGAACAGAACTCAAGTACTCCTATCGCTTTGTGTGTGATGAACACTACTACGGAGAAGGATGCACTGATTACTGCCGCCCCAGGGATGACGCTTTTGGACACTTCTCCTGTGGCGAAAAGGGAGAGAAAGTCTGCAACCCCGGCTGGAAGGGGCAGTACTGCACTGAACGTAAGTATAGACTCTAAAAAAAAAAACTTCCATAGTCTTATAAATAGGTTGCATGTAAAAAAATAAAAATGAAAAGAATTCCATCCATTTAAATCAATCCCTTTTATATGCAGAAAATGACGCAAGCATCTGACATTTTATAGTCAAATTATTTTTTATTTTATTTGTCCAATTAAATGACACATTTGCTATGCAGAGTGTCTCATTAATCATGTTGATTAGCTCCTTTTTATACTGCCTAATGGGGGTGTTCTCCTCTTTTTTTTGTGCATTCAGTGTCACATAGCTGTGTAAAATGTGCACTGCCTGCTTAACGAGCTTGTCTTAAGCTAGAGAAACAAGAAAGCTTCCCCCTTCCCCCACCGTCCTTTGTGAGGCTGGTGCCCCTCTTTCTGCTGAGAACTTTGGACCATTTATTTAAATGATAATAATAATGAAAAGTTTTCAGAGAAATCACACGCGTGCCATAGATTAGATCTTCGCAGCGATTGGCCGGGAGAACTGCACCCCTGCCCGTGATTGGCTAGAGGCAATGGGGTATTGTTGCAGAAGGGCAGCTGCTGGGAGAGAATAGACAATAGAGCAGCTGTCCTGTACTGGCACCCTGCACACCAGCTGTCCACTCTTATCTGCACACACTCGCTGGGATATTAAGGGGTGGAACCATGTGTGTGTTTAGAATTAGGGAAGAAGGAATAAAAAAAAAAAAAGACTTCTGACCCTCACTTGGAAGAAAAAAGTGCGTAGAAAGGGGGAGGGGAAAAGAGGTCTGGGAGCCTTCTTTTGTCACTGTGTAAATGTATTAAGGAGAATGCCTGTTTGCAAGTGACCAGGAAAGTTCCCAGTTACCAAATGAGAACAGAATCCAGCAGTCTGCCTATAGAATCTCATTTGCAGAAACTTCACCAATTCATGGCTGTTCATTTTGATGCTCCATAATAGATCGCTTATATTTCCCATTTCTTTTTATTTGTGCAGCGATCTGTCTTCCTGGATGTGACGAACAACATGGCGTTTGTGAAAAACCCGGAGAGTGCAAGTGAGTTTACCATGTTAATGTTTGAACAAAGTCAGAGAATGTTGTCTGTGTATATAATTAAAAGCAAAAGAGCAGCTGACATATACACACACATAGAATTTCTGCAGAAGGGTTTCATACTTTCTATTCTCATACATATTCCAAATGCTTTCAATGAATCGTTTAAAAGTCAGTCTGCTGTGTTCTCGGTAACAAATTGATAACCACTTTTTTTTTTTTTTCTCCATCCAGATGCCGCGTAGGTTGGCAAGGCCGCTACTGCGATGAATGCATCCGTTACCCTGGTTGCCTGCATGGTACATGCCAACAGCCTTGGCAATGCAACTGCCAAGAAGGATGGGGTGGACTGTTTTGTAACCAAGGTGAGACTATACAATAAACAATGATGAAGATGACTGAATTTAATAAATGTGAAAGGACAGATTTCTAATAATTTGCTTTGTTCATTGTACAGACCTTAACTACTGCACTCACCACAAGCCTTGCAAGAACGGAGCCACCTGCACCAATACTGGTCAGGGAAGTTACACTTGCTCTTGCCGTCCGGGCTATACTGGATCCAATTGCGAGACTGAGATCAACGAATGTGACGCAAACCCATGCAAGAATGGAGGAAGCTGTACGGTAAGTCATTTTTGTCCTCCTAATTAGTTCTTTGGGTTAACCAAATGAATGTAAGACTCTGGAGTTAAGCTATAAATTGTTTGGTAGTTTTACTCAGGGAAGAGTTATGCAGTTTTTTCTTTTCTAAAGTGACATTTGCCTTTTTTTTAAAACACAGGACATGGAAAATAGCTATTCCTGCTCATGCCCACCTGGATTCTATGGCAAAAACTGTGAGCTCAGTGCCATGACTTGTGCTGATGGACCATGCTTCAATGGAGGCAGATGCACGGATAATCCAGATGGTGGATACAGCTGCCTCTGCCCAGTTGCCTACTCTGGCTTCAACTGTGAAAAGAAAATTGATTACTGCAGCCCCAATCCCTGTGCCAACGGTAAGATCACAGTCCAGTTGTGTTAGTTAGTTGTTAGTATGAATCAGGCCTTTGATAAATAAACAGAAATACGTTCAGTTGCATATGTATTGTTTTGCAAAAAGTCCCAGTAATAAATATAACTATTAATAGGGAAGGTGGTGGGAATGAAATAGCAGTTTAAGTCAAGTTTCTGTCTGCAACCCCAATATCAGATTTTGTATCCGTGTTAGTATAAATTGTGCTCGGCCTTAATCAGTTTACATTCTCTAATCATTTCCTGATTGGCTCTGGTACAGGAGCTCGCTGTGAGGACCTTGGAAATTCCTACATTTGCCAGTGCCAAGAAGGCTTCTCAGGGAGGCACTGTGATGACAACCTGGATGACTGCGCTTCCTTGCCCTGCCAAAATGGTGGCACATGCCAGGATATGATTAATGAGTATTCATGCACCTGCCCTCCAGGGTACACTGGGAAAAACTGCAGCATGCCTGTGAGCAAATGTGAACACAACCCATGCCACAATGGGGCAACATGCCATGAGAGGAACAATCGTTATGTGTGCGAATGTGCTCGCGGTTATGGTGGACTTAATTGCCAGTTTTTGCTCCCTGAGAAACCCAATGGTGAGTCTGCCGATAAGTTTATGGAAAAGCCCAACGGACAGTTTCCATGGATTGCAGTGTGTGCTGGAATTATCTTGGTGTTACTATTACTGCTAGGCTGTGCAGCGGTAGTCGTTTACGTGCGGCTTAGAGTACAGAAGAAACGGCAAATGCCTGCTGCCACTCGTGGTGAAACCAAGACTATGAATAATCTGGCCAATTGCCATCGGGAAAAGGACATTTCTGTGAGCATCATAGGCACCACTCAGATTAAAAACACAAACAAAAAAGTAGACTTTCTAAGTGAAAGCAACAATGATAAAAATGGCTACAAGCCAAGATACCCAACTGTGGATTACAATTTAGTCCATGAACTGAAAAATGAGGATGCAGCTAAAGAAGAACGGAGGAAATGTGAAGCCAAGTGCAGCTCGAGTGACTCAGATTCAGAAGAAACGCACTCATCACATTTAAAAAGGTAGGTATCTTGATGTTCTGCAACTTTATATACAGCTGTAATGGTTTATTGTAACCTCTGCTTGGACCATGTCCAATTCTAATGGCTTACCATTTCTTTGATACCCACAGTGATCCTTCAGAAAAAAAGGAGGCCAGACTCTAATTACTCCTCTTCGAAAGACACAAAATATCAGTCCGTATATGTCATATCAGATGAAAAAGATGAATGCATCATAGCAACTGAGGTTAGTATTTTATTTTGTACTAGACCTGTCGAGTTTAGAGCCTTCTGTAGGGGTAATGCAGTCTAAATGAACTCATGGTAGTATGACCTATAAAGTCAAGCTGCTCTTCTTGTTTGAAGGTTTGTATGTTTTATTGGCTTTAAACTTTACAAAGCTAATTAGCGTTCCCTTTAAACATTGCCCTCGTCATCTTTTATATTGAGAAAGGAAATGTAGGCTATGTAAAAAATATTGCCTAAAACCATTTCATAATCTCAATCCACCAAAAGCATAAATTATTGCTGTGTGTTTTGGAAACCTTATTGCATACCTTAGTAATGCTGAAACCCAAACAGTTGATGGTCAGGACTAATGCAAGTACAAAGCTACGACTAATGAGTGTTAGGTCAAAAGTGACCAGTAGTTGTAGCTTTTATAGTCTCTATAAAGTAGCAGGAATACATATACAGTACAATAGCATTGAAGTCATAGGCGGTTATTTATTAAAGCTGGAGAGTGCAAAATCAGGTGCAGCTCTGCCTAGAAACCAATCAGCTTCCAGGTTTTATTGCCAAAGCTTAATTGAAAAACCTGAAGTTAGAAGCTGATTGGCTACCATGCACAGCTGCACCAGACTCTGAGTTCTCCAGTATTAGTAAATCCCTCCCATAATCTTATTTGCACCTTCAGGGTGTCTGAATATGACTATGAAATCCAATAGGTACCACTCAGACCTAGTGCACTCAGTAATCAGAGCTCAGTAACAGAACTGGATAACTTAATAGAGCTTTTAATGTTCACTTTTCAAGTAAATATCAGTCACAAATCGTGGGGGTACAGGGCTGTCCATTGGACTTTAAGTATGCCAAACACTGTGAATGCAGGAACATATGTTAAGTGATTTGCCAACAGGTGACTAAGCTTATCTCTTCTGTTTGTTTCCACAGGTGTAATACGGAAACTGTACAACACATTCTTGTCATATATTCAGAGGTGACGCCCATGTGAATGCTGCTGATAATAGAGGAGAGGGACATCCCTTTGTTGACTGCTGCTGAGACACTAAATTCAGACCGAGCTGGTTCTCTACTGAAGTTAGCAAAAATGACTGCAAAACAAAATGGACACTACAAGCTAGCCTCTGTGTCCAGACACAAAACTGTTGCACTGCCGTTTCAGTTCTTCTTCATTGCACTATGGACAGTTGCTTTTTTTTTTTTTTGTCTTTTTTTAAAATAATTATTATAAAATATATATATATAAAATATATAAATATATATATTTAATGAATGGACTTCTACGAGTCTGCAGAAGATGAGTGCACTGCCTGAGGTGTATAGTTGAATTCTTTATGAGCCACTCCGTTGCTAAACTCCAGACACTGCCTTCCTTAGTCTTTTTTTATACTGAAAGGTGTTTTTCACTAGGTCAAAAAATGTGTGTTATTTTTTTGAAACTTGTAAAACTATTTTTACGATATTTGTAAAGCTTGAGTATTTGTGATGTTCATTTTTTATAATTTAAAAAAAATGGTAAATATGTAAAAAGGCACTTCGGGTCTATGTGACTATATTTTTTTGTATATATATGTATTTATGGAATATTGTGCAAATGATATTTGATTTTTTCTACTTTTTTTGTTAATGAAGGAATTCATTTTTAAACTATTTTTCCAAAATAAATATTATGAATGATAATATCTGGAGTTTTTTAATATACTGTAGAGTCACTATAGAGTCACGTTGGGACTCAATGAGGTTCGATTTACTGCAGGAGTAGGGACTGTTCACTTTGCAAAGTGAAAGTTTCAAGATTGTAAATGAAATTTAGATGCAAACTAAGAATAGTTAATAAATTAGATAAAGCTGTGTTCACTGTAAGCAACCAATTGTGGGGTACCAAAAATCCTTTTTTTTTTTAAATTTACCTCGACTTGATTGGGTAGTCAATAAAAACACGGGTTCAGCTTATTTACTATGATTCACTTTGCAAAGTTAACTTACACTTTTCAGCGTGAACATTTACTTGGTAAGTGGACAGGCTCTATTTCTGTACACAGTAATGCAGGGTAAGAATATGTTTTAGGTTTTTTGGCTGTCTGAATTCCCACTGGGGATATTTATTCCCTTCATTTGTCCTAGTGTGCAATGTCACCAGAAGTGATGGGAAAATCACAAATCTTAAGTTGTTACCAGAACAAAAAAAAGGGAACTCTTCCAATGCGGTCACTTGTGGTGGCAACTGTCTGAGTGGAGATTTATCTCACTTCCTGTTGTGTCCAAATAAGTGAAGGGAAATCTCCACAACTTAACAAGGGGCTATAACCATTCCTATGCCATCCATGATGGAAAAAAAAGTTTTGGCCTTACATATATGTTAGGTTTCGAATTGGTGTGTTTTTTTGTTTTAGTGTACTTGTGTTATAGTTATCACTTTCTGCTGGAAACCTTAAAGGACTATTAAAGATGAAATAGAAGATATCTTATGGGAAACAGATATGACTAACATGTACAGATGTTGTTTTGGGATTTGGGGGGATGCAATCTAATTATTTCCTTTAAGGGTTCATGTAGAATACTGCCTTTTGCATTTGAATGCAGTGCAATGCTTGTGTTTGATCACAAAATGCTTGTTGTGCCCAAAGAAAAGCAATGCAAAACAAGTCAAAAGCAGTTGGAAAGGTCACCCACACTACAATCTTAAAGTAGAAAGGGAAATTTGCAAACTGTTTACAATGCGCATCAAACACAGGAAAAGAATGCCTATCTACATGAATATTTTAAGTTACCATTACAGATAAGTTGGCCATAGATGGTTCAAGGTGGGTAGAGGAATACCCCGCCACCGCTATATTATATTCTGGCAGCGGGACTCTTTGCTGTCAGAATACACTGATCAGGGGTTGTAGCCCATTGGCTGCAGTCACTGATTGACAAAAGTTTTCCAGCTTGTCTGTTCGATGGAAGTCAGTATAACAATCTACTTCTGGCTGTGGCCAGCTGTAGTATTTCCTGAACCTCATATGCCTGATAAATAACTTAAAGTATATTTAGGACCAAAACTTTTTCTGGCTTTGAGTAGGCATGGTAGACTGTGTTCGGTTTTTCTTTTTTTGTCTGTGTCCCTTTGGCAAGATTTTCTTTCTTTCTTTTTAAAATTTTGAGAGATCTCTTCAAGGGAACAAAGCCACATAGTCAAGTAACTAATTTATATGAAATAGCTTGTGGTTTACTTATTAATTTGCAATTTTCACTATTGGGGATGAAAAACCTGAATTTACCTTAAACATTCATTCATATGCAGGGGAGTTTAAAAAATATTGAACTTTTGGCATGATCAGATTTTGAAACAAAGGCAGGTTCACTTCACCAATCTGAAAATGACTCCCTTAGGAAGAAAACCCCCTTTTGTTAAGTTTAAGTGGCTTTTTAATTCTATTGCTAAATTGCTATTGTTTAATCGGGTTGGCGTAGGGAAGGGTTAGAATGTCTGTCAGGTTTTTTTTTTGCTGTACACACTGGCAGGGTTTATCACCGTCTGTGTCCTGATGATTACTGTCACCAAGATAGAAAGTGAGGGGAAATCCAAAATTGTTGACTCCAGAACAAAAGACAAAGGGAAGTCTTCCAATATGAACACCAGTTCTGGAGACAACTCTCTAAAAGAGCCCCCCCCCCATTTTGGGAGATTTCCTCTAACTTTCTGCTGTATCTCTGAGACAGAAAATAAAGGGTAGATTCCCCAGTAGTTCACAAACAACAAAAAATAAAATGACAAATCTTCCCTACTCTATCCAGAACAAAAAAAGGTTTGGCTATACATACACTTTACACTTTTCTAATTAGCATAGTGATATGCCTTTCAAAAATGCAGTTTTTGTATCCTCACCAATGACAAAAACCAAAAAAATCCTCACAGTCATGAGTTAACAGGAATATTTTTTCAATAATAAATGTGTTGCCTTTCTGTAATGTGGGAAATTCTGGATGACTGGTTTCCAGATAAGAGATCCCATGGGACTTCCTCCATGATAAACAGGCAAGTCCAAATTCATTTATAACAGGTTAATTTTTAGGACACGTGCAAAGAAAATGATCTGTACACTGTGATTATCCTTGTGTTGTGCCAACAGGCCTGTTTATACTAATGCCAGCTAATCTGGTGCCACATGACCAAGTAGACAAAAATGCAGCAAAGCACTTGAAGAGAGTCTCTTGTCACCCACATCTGCTGGAGGTTTCTTTTTTGGTAGCAATTTTTAGTGACACTGTGCCACAGACTCTGGGCTTTGGGTCTAGAGACAATCAGCCCTTCCCTTGTAAATTCTATAATGTTTCACCACTCCAAGGGGTTGTTAGACAAACTACCATGTTCATTTCAAACAGCAGGACACATGAAATACATATGTAAATATATTTTTGTTTGGTAGGGCCAATATTTTTTGCATCACTTCTGAGAATTTTTGACTTTACTCATGCAGAAAAATAAAAATAATCTTTTAGAACAATAGTGCCTAACCCTTTAATAATAATTATTCATTTCCCAACGAATTGCCCAATATGGCCCTCTATACTAGACAGTCAAAATCATCATCATTAATCCAATTAGTTACCACTGTGACTTAAAAAAGCACAGCTGAAACAAAATCATAAAGACTTTATTCAGACTGCTGAAAGCATCCAGTCTGTAGATTGTTTGACAGTAGAACCCTTGTAGGAAGGACGCAGCATAGCAGAAGCAATTGCTGAACATGTATTTTGGAGAAAATGACAATTTACTTTTGGGTTTTGGCCATGGATTTCCCCCACCAAATAATACCCTTTACCCCCTCTAGTTAATTGTTGCTGAAAAAAATTCTTAATCTAAATACCCCAAATCCCAACCTAAATCTGTGGCCACATGATGCACCAGGTTCCACATTTTTTTTCTTTCTCACTGCAGCGTGGAAGGGGTCTTCTTTGGGTGTCCACATTATTGCTTGGTGATGTAGTGATGTAGATACCTCCTGGAGACTCAAGTGAAT